AAAAGTGTGAGAGACTTTCGTGCCTGAAGCACTAAGAACTGGTAAACACATGGAGTGGATTCACCTCCGTACACAGGCAGTTCTGTATGGCGACACCCCTCACTGTCTCATTTCCATTAGGACCAGGCAGCGTTTCTCTCTGTTGTACATATACGGTCACGATGACTTGGAGCCGACTCGACGCACACAATAACAACAGTTTCTCATCTGTTAAGCAGGATCACACATACCCTTTGCCAGCGCCTCTTTATACTTCTCCTCAGCGATGTTTAAGTTGTTCACGTAAGCGGCGTGGTGTTTGTTGTGGTGCAGCTGCATGATTTGAGCGTTAATGTACGGCTCCAGGGCGCCATAATCATACGGCAAGTCAGGCAGGCTGTGCTTCTGTCTGGAGCCCAAAGCTCCCAAAGCTGGTACCAGCTTCCTGCTCGTGCTGGAAAGACACAAAACACAGACCGATTCACTCGACACGAGCAGTCCCCTTAACGCGTGTGTGCCCGGCTACGTCGCTGAAGTTGTGAAAGAGCCCATCCATGCATCTCATGTCCTTTATGTGTGCACTCTCTGTCCTGCTGACCATGTTTTTTGAAGCAATACATTTGTTTGCCATTAAAAGTAACCGTCCTGAACCCACCCGCATATCTCTTTGCTGGGCTTTAGCCCTAGCACGTATCAGGATGCGTCCAACAGGGAACGTTTACATCGCCCCGGTCTTCCCTTTTAGACCGCAACGCCCACTTTAGGAAAAGGCGATACCCTTGGAGCCGGGAGATAACAGCCCGAGAACTGTCCTCGCTCCGCGCAGGCAGCCTGTGGAGACACCCGTGACCCCGCCAGGCCCGGCGGGGAGGGCGGAGCAGGGGGTGCAGGCCGGTCGCGCTCCATCCGCGCCGCCGCCGTCTCCCCGCGCACGCCGCCCTGCCCTCTGTGCCCTTGGGCCCAGTGCGAGCGTTCCCGCTGCAGCCGCGCGGTCCACTGTACCGACCGTGCCGCGGGCGCCTCTCACCTGCACGCCGCCCGGCACAACATGGCGCTGCGCAGATACTCCTCTCCACACGAAGCGCAGGTGCCGAGGCCAAGCGTGAGCTTTAAAGGCTGCCTGCCGACCACCCGCAAGGGCACCGCCACCGCCCCTTCCGGGAGGCCCCGCCCCTTCTTCCGGAAGGCCCCGCCCCTGCGCCGCTCCCATTCTCGGAGGGGGAAACACGGGAAAACCCGTGGACCTGCACCGCCTACGCTTGGCCCTGCGCACCCGGCCTAGGGAATTGAAAGCGAAAGCTGGAGACTTCCCAGGAGGATGCGGGAACTGCATGCAGTGCGTATTTGCCGCACTTCGTTGGGGTATCGCCAAAAGAAGGGTCCCCTAGCTACGTGTGCCAGTTGGTTACGGCCCACGCGGCCCTGCGGCTGCACGCCGGCAGTGAGTCTGCGGCCCCCGCCGCTAGGTGGTCGGTCTCTGGGCAGGTGCAGGCGGCCTGCCCGGTTCTCGCTATGCAGTGTTTGGGCAGCCGCGGGGTCAGGTGGTCGCTCAGGAAAGAAAGGCATGCGAGCTCTCCTGCTGGTCTGGGGGCTGCAACTGGCGCTGAGGAAGGTGGGTCCAAGGTGCTGGAGACGCCGCCCCAAGAGCGTGCTGGAGGAAGGCCAGTTCCCCTTTAGTCGGTTCTGGGCTCTTTCCACACCACTGCCCCGAAATTACCTTTCTTTGCTAAAGTAACTAACCTTGAGACCTCCTCCAGGCCAGAGCCAGGAGCCAGGCACACTTTCTCCCCAATAACCGCCTGATAATAGCGTTCTTGAACACCTGCAATGTACTGGGGACTGTCCTGGAGGATTTACGTGCATTCCCTTGTATTACCCCCGGGGTTGGTTTATTAACCCGTTAATGAAATAGTGAAGTTGGGCAGCTTGCCCTGGTAACACAGCTAGCAAGTAAAAGAGTCACGATTAGAATCCAAAGATCGTACCTGCTTGACCTCTGAGCCTTACCAATCAAGTTCTGTGTGTTTATTTAGAGTGACATCCACGAGCCAGCTGCTCTAGAGAAGATAAAAGAAACACAACAAGTTTCTTTTCTACAGTGCGTTACAGTCTAATAGGCTGTAAGTGCCAAATAGTTTCTCACTTTCTCAACAGTAACAAAAACAAACAAATGTCCTGAATTGCATAACTCTACCAGTACGTAGAAGTTAGGAAAGTTTTTACACTGTTGTTGGTGTGAGTTGGACCGTTAGTGAATAAAATAAAGGGAGACATTTAGTACATGCTCAAGCTTTCATCACTCTCTTCCACCCCCCTCTAGGGGCCTTGTGAGGGTGACTAGGCTTCGGGGAAGCGGAATGGGAAGGGCATTCAAACTGGAACCCCTGCACATGACTTCACAGCAGGACAGGCTGTGCTTGTTTACAACCAGAGGACTGTGACTAACGGTATGTGTTGGAGAGAAGGAGGAAATTCAGATTGGGACCAGGTTATAGTGGTCCTTTAAACCTCAGACAGGGCATAGGTTTGATATGCTTAGTGACAGAAGGTTAAGAAACATTTTAGCTGAGGAGTTTTTTAGGCAAGACACTCTGGTGTTGATACCATGAGGGCAGGCTAGTTGGGAAGCTGTTGAATTTATCCCAGCATAGGTACTAAGGGCCGGTTTTAGTGCACTAGCTATGGGAACTGGAAGAAGGCATTTTGAAGGACAAAACAGCAAAAGTCAGGGACAGGATTAGTCACTGTAATGAAAGGATAGATCTAGTGAAAACAGTGTTGGGCTGGATTCTTTCCCACGTTTGCCCCTTCCCCCCATGCCCTTGGAGAAAGGAGATCATGGAACCTGTGTGCCCTGAACATTGGGGTGAAGTTGGACATAGAACAAAACTAAGCCAGTCAGGCTGCTTTGGTGTACTTCTTGTTTGTAAGGATGGTGGTACTTTGAGACTCAGATTGTCCCCTAAGACATCCCTTTTGAACGAACAACAAAGATCGGGGGCAGAGGGTGGCAGTAACAGTCAGATTGAAGCATCTCTGACATCATTTCTGCCATCAGCCATATTCTTCCAGAAGACCACCCTAACTGTGAGAGTATCTAGGACTGAGACCAAGAGCTGGGGGGGGGACCCTTTTCTAGCTGAGTGTTCCTTTGATCGGTCACGTAGCCACCAGGGCAGTCTGATTCATGCTTCCTCTTGTGAAATCATGGTACCAGTGGGGTCCTCTTCTATGCCATTTGAGAGCCACAGACAACTGGAATGGAAGTGTCCCCAGACTTTCCTTCCTGGGCACTTGACGCCATGGTCCCTTGAAGACCAGCTGGTACCTCCACCTTCAGAAATGTCCTGACAAAAAGTGGGATCCTGTGTCCAGCTTCACCCGAATGTTCAGGGTACATAGTTTCCATGACCCCCTTTCTCCATGGACAAGGGGGTAAGGGGCAAACGTGGGAAAGAATCCAGCTCAACACTTTTTTAAAGCCTAAAACATCTCTTATTTCTCCCCCAATGCCCTTTCATATTTCCTGGTAGAAGAAGCTGCCAAACCAGCGTAGTGTGTCCGGAACACAAACCCCTTTACCTTTGATCCAGGCTTTGGGAAATTTAGTAACCACATTTTTAGGAGCAGCTGACACCATTAGGTTGGAGCTGGAAGGTGGAAGAGAAAGGATTTCAGTTACATAGTCTAACCTTCATGTTACATTATTATTCTCTGAACAACTGGGGCCTTACTATCCTCTGGGTGCTAAGCACTGTTATGAGTTGGCTACTGAGCCAGTCAATATCCCCACCCTCAGGAACTTTGTTATGGTCCTGGGGAGCCTGTCACCCAGGAAGGATAGTGGTGTTTGGGAGTGCCAGGAAGACTGAGCTAACAGGAAGGCCCAGGGCTACCCAATGAATGGCTGGAGCCTGAGGTCAGAAGCCAGATTCTTTAGAGTAGGGTGTGTCAGCCTCAGCACTAGTGATGTTTTGGGCCAGATAATTCTTTGTTGTGAGGGGCTGTCCTGTGCCTTGTAGGATGTTTGTCTGCATCCCTGGCCACTACCCACTAGATGCCAGTAGTTCCCACTCCCACCCCTAGTTGTGAGAACCAGATATCTTCAGACATTCTGGGGTCTTAAAAGCTTTCTAGCAGCCACCTAAGATACAACTATTGGCCTCTACTCGTCAGGAGCAAAAGAGTAAGAAGATAACCAAAATCACAGAGAAGAAACAAGTCTACAAGACTGATAGCCTACATGAACCATGACCTGAACTTCCCTGAGACCAGAAGAACTAGATGGTGCCCAGCTACCACTACTGACCAATCTGACAAGGGGCACAATAGATGATCGTGGTTAGAATGGGAGAAAAATGCAGAACAAAACTCAAATTCCTAAAAGTAGCCAGACTAATTGGACCGCCTGAGACTGGAGGACTCCCTAAGACTATCGCCCTGAGATGCTCTTTAAACCTTAAACCAAACTATCCCTTGAGATCACCTTTTAACAGAAAAGCAGAGTGACACACCAAGGATATTACCCGTTACATTGGTGTTCTACTGAAAAAATACCTGAATGAGTCCAAAAGGTCAACATTTAATCCAAAGCAAAGATGACAAGATAAGGAGGCAGGGAAACTAGAGTACTGGAAATGGAACAACTAGAACACAATGAGAATGTTGACACAATGTGAAAAACATGACTGTCATTGATCAATTTGTGTGGAAATTGTCAAAGGGGAACCTAACTTGCTGTGTAAACTTTCACCAAAAACACAATAAAATATTGTTAAAACAAGCAAACAAATACGTCCAGACGTTGTCGAATGTCCCCTGTGGGGGCCAGATCACCGCTGGTTGAAAACCACTGTCATAAGGTTAAACTATTGCAAAAAGGTCAAGCCAAGTGACTCAGTAAAAGACGCCAGACCATGGAAGGCAAAGTTGAGGGGTAGATCAAAGAGCATGGAGAGCGCAGCGGAAGATCCAAGCTTTTTGGGCTCCATCCTAAGACGCTGGCGGGAAGGGAGGGGATGCATTGACCACCTTGTATTTCATGATACGTCAGCTCCCCTGTCGTCAAGCCTTGTCTTTCTCACAGCAGTCATGCCTTGAAGTTTGGTCTGGTGAGTTTATGATTATTAGGAAGATAAACTAGGGGAGAATAAACAAGTTGTTAGGATCTGTTTTGAAGCAAGAATAATTGGTGAAAACAAACAAACAAATTAGAACCATGAATGAGGATAATAATATTGGAAAGAATGCGTGAACCCTACGTAGAAAAAGAAGATAATATGTACCCCATCACTCACAAGTTCCTGTATCAAAAAGGTAAACGCAGTTGTGAAAATTTACAAATGAAATTTAGCAGGCATTATTGGAGCAGCACCTGGGTGACACACACGGTTAAGCACTCAGCTACTAACTGAAAGGTTGGGGGTTTGAATCCACCCAGAGACACCTCAGAAGAAAGGTCTAGAGATTTACTTCCAAAAGATCACAACCATTGAAAACCTTCTGGAACGCAGTTCTACTCTGACCTCGTGGGGCCACCATGAGTGGGAACTGACTCGATGGCAGCTGCTTTTCTTCTGTGCGTGTGTGTTTGGGTTTTTTGTTTATTTGGTTTTGTTTTTTGAGCACTTTACTATGAGCAAAACACTGAGGTATTGGGCAAGGAGGGGAAACAGGACAGTGAGTCCAATTTTCTGTTACAGAAAGACAAACATGTAAAAAACCACAATAATAATAACAATAACAGCTATTGTTTATTGTGTACCTATGTGCCAGAATCTCTAATTGATTTTGTTTAATCCTCATGAATACCTTACCAAGTTTTACAAATTCAGCAAGATTAAGTAACTTTCCCAAAGTCACTGAGCTAGCATAAACAGTACAGAATTTAAACCTAGGTCTTTGTGACCCAAAGGCCCATGATTTTTCCACGACACCATGCTTTTTCCAGACAGAATAAATACAGTAGAAACTTTGTAATTCACGTTCCACTTTAACCGTTTGCCAAGTTAACAGCCATCCTCCAGTTCCCTGTAGAACATACTGGCAGATGCCCACAGTCCTCCAGTGATTGGGGCTAGATCGCTCACTGCTGCCCCCAACAGGTGAGTTGTATGGATAGCAAGAGTCAGGTGCTCGTGTGTTCCCAGAAAAGATTTGTGCATGTTTTTACTTGTTATTGAAATTATACCATTTAATTAAGTACTATGTACAATTACAAAATATGAGTGAAAAGAGTTATTTCAATGAAAACTAAATTGA